GCCTTCCTTTATCCTGAGGAGCCCATGGTGCTCATCCTCCCTAATTTCCACCTGTCTTTTCCACCAGGTTGAATGAGGGAGCATAAACATGCTTACCTGAACTAGGGCTTTGAGAGTAGTCCCCCATCTTAGCAAATTAGTTAACTCCATTATTGTAACAAGATTGCAAAAAACCATTTGTAACAGCCAGATCTTTTAATAACAGGCTATAAAATGGTGATGTTATTTTCAAGTCTAGCATTGAAAATGGGGCTTTATTGTTTTCCGTGTGAGAAATATTGTAGAACACAGTAAAAAAGCAGCACTGGCTACAGAGCTGAACACTTAACGCCCATGACTCATGTTCCTTTAACTGATGTAGTAAATACGTGCTATTATGTACACTGGATCTGGCAGAGCTCTGTGTGGCTCAATTACTCATGGCAAGGCCAGTGTAGTACAGAGTAGGTTTTATCTGTGGGCGCAAATATTTTTTTTCTTTTTTCCCATTGAAGTAGTACCACATTTTGCATAGGTTACAGGGAGAAAAAGGTAGAATGTAGTAGTTTCCTGTCATTTTTTGTTGGCACATCTTCATACTCTCCCTCCTTCTGTGGATCCAGGCTTCTTGCACTCAGGGTTTGTCTGGGCAACCTTGGAGGCCGAGAAAAGCGTATTTTAAATATGTTAGTCTGGACTGAGTTTTAGCTGCAGTTTCTCTGTGATACCAAGCTTATCAAGGCTCACAGCTCCCAGTTAAAACAGCCAAACTCGGGGTTCATTGCCAAAAGGAACTACCTGCCTTTTTCACGGTACGCTCTTTCATATTGGGCAGTATAAATTTGTGGGTTTTTTTCTTTTGTTGTTGTAGTTTGGTTTTCCCCCCCCCCCAGGACATGAGGAGACCCCAGTTGGTTTATCAGTCTTTAGAATTGTGTGTGGAATTCGTCCTTCTGAGGAAAGCACAGTTTCTTTCTTTGTCAAGCTTTCTGTTTTCTTGTTACTTTTTTATTCAATGACACTTATTTTTGTTGAATTCCACTGGAAGTTAAATAGCAAAGAGCACCTGCAGAGGATGGTCAGAAATGCCTGAGAAGTCATTTATCAATGGAGCTTCACACAGGGCTCTGCCGCTTCTCCCAGCGGCACGTCCCCACCAGCCCTGCAGAGCAGCGTGTCCTTGGCACACGCATGGCAAAACATGATCCTTTGTGGGGTCTGAGAATTGCTGCCAATCTTAAATTACAGTAATTAGCCTTCTCCTTTTTGGTTCATTAATTTCCCATTAGGTAAAATTCTTATTAATTATGAGCAAGCTACAGAACATTTTAAAATATTTTAGAATAGAGAAAGAGACCTGCTAGAGCAGAAGAATCACCGAGACACAGGAGGGTCAGGGCCCTTTTACCACAAAGAAATGGGGGGGAAAGGTTTTGGCATTAGTGCTGACACTGTCCTGTCTGGGATAGATTAAAACACTTGTAGGGAGTGACAGAATTGCTTTTAATTTTTGAATGCTTAAACTTGTGTGCTAGAATATCTTTTTTTTTTTTTTTTTTTTTTAAGACAACTGCTTTCAACCCTCACAAATACATACATATACATATGGATATATAAATATACATTTTTTATATATATGGATATATATACACACACATATATATTTACCTTTTCCAGTACAGAAGCAGCAGAACCCTTTTTTTCATTCAGAGCTTGGGAAATTCTATTTATAGGGAAAATGTGTGTACATTTTTCAGCTTGAAAGATCAGTAAAAAGAGAGCTAGATCAAGAGGGTGCAAGGAGAACATTTAAGTTGGCAAAAGAACCCCACAGAAATTGTCAGATCTTTTGATTTTAAGCAAAATAATGCAAAATACTAATACAAAGAGATACAAAGGCTGAGAATTAGGAACCAGGATCCTGGGAGGTCCCATCTCCCTCCGAGCCACCAAACTAGGACCACATTTTCTGAAAGGTCTTTGACACCAAGTAGCTCCTCTTTGCAAGGTATATGGCCACATTTAAAAAAGCACACAGTCCTTTCTTTTTAAAAGTAATAACTTATAAATGCCCATCTCAAAATATCAGTAATTTATCCTGTCATGCCAGACACAACGGGGCTGTTTTTCCGCCCCTTTGAACAGCCCGTGCACCATTCCTCAGGCTTGCAGTCGTGACTGCGGGAAATGGATGATTTTTTTCTTTTGCCTTGCTGCTGTTTGTTCTGCAGAGGGATGCTGAAACAGGAAAATGGGCCTCTTGGGTGGTTTTGTAGCCTAATACTGAATTTGGACAAGCACTCACTATATAAACCGTGGCCATGCATGAGCCTGGGTGCCACATGGTGTTGGAGGAAGCACAGCACAAAAGGGAGTGTACCTTAGACGCCTTCTTGGTATCCGCCTGCTGTCTTTGTCCGATGGGGCCAGGACCAGGGCTGTGGGGTGGCACTTCTCTGGCAGAGGGGTGACCCCGCCAGGTCTGGGATGCAGCAAAACTCCAGCATTACCAGAAATTTTCACGTAGTTAAAATTTGCCAGGGACTTTTTTCTTTCCTGGACTGAGGGTAAAACTCAGTGATGTGAGCAAGTGCTGAGATTACTGGGATCTGAAACAAAATATTCAGGAAAATGTGATGGAAAAGGCTGTTTTCTTGCAGAAGGCATTGATTTAAAATGCATAGCAATTCCCAGTGCAATGGTGTTTCATTTGCCATGCACCAGCCAGCCCACCTACCTACACTGCGCTTGATGGGATTGAGTGTCTGAATTTGTGTCTGCTGTGGTCTTTATCCAAACCCTTCTCCCCTCCTGCTCCCCCTTTGCATTTTCCTTTGCTGACAGACCAGGAATGATACCTGTTACCTACCTCCCCGCGGTGTTGTGGACCTCAGTGCCTCTGCAGTGCTTTGAACTCTTGGGGTGAAAATTGCTGTATAAATGTTAAAATACATTGTTCTAAATGTGAAAATATTTTTATTTGTTGTAAAATTATGTGTTTTAACATTATATTAGTGTTAAAATACAAAATTCATCCTTCTAGTGAGCAGCATCTGGAGAGCCTTAGTTCCGCTGCAAACATGTTTGTGCTTAGCCCTTGCCTGTGCCTCCATGCTGGGTGCCCCACAGCCCCATCCCCATTTCCCCTATGCTCTCCAAAGAGCCCAGACTTTGATGATTAGCTCCCAAAGGAGAAAATGGATTTGTCTGGCGAGGAGAAGGTGCTGGTAAGGCAGGAGCTGGCTGCCCTGTGAGGCTGCCTTCACTGCCGGGACAGAGTGCTTGCTGCCCGGTGAAGTGTGGCAGGGTCTGTGGGTGTGCTACTGGAGGCTGCGAGCTTTGTTTTGATTTTTTTTCCCTGTGGGTTTTCTTTTTCTTTTAATCCTCTTTAAAAATTGTCAGGACAAAGAACTACGTTCCTTGTCTGCTTGCAAGAATTGGCACCTTTTTGAGTTGTGAGTCGGACACTTAAATATAGCCGTGGTTTTCTGTGGACACCGGAGTTTTGGCCACATCCTCTGGCACTTTTTGTGCTCTGCAACTGGTTTGCTTTTGGCAAAAGATGGGAATTCAAATATCACAAGCAGGTGTGTTAGAGCTGGGTTAGTCTTCTGCATCGCAGCACTGGTGCTTGTAGCTTTGCTGCCTTCACTGGCTGCAGACTCCCATGTTCACGCAGCATTGTTGTTGTTTAAGGGAAGGTGCACAGGGAAACCTGGCGTGTTTGAGGGCAGGTGAATGCCCTTAGTTGTGTTTACAGCAGGCTCAGTTATATTTTCTGTAGGTTTAAAGCTAAACCACTTTCAAAGCAAAAATTAGTGCCTGTAGGAGGAGATTGCAGCGGCTGGACTAAAACAATCCTAATTGGTGTATCAGCACACCCTGGCCTGATGGATCCTTCCCACAGGAAGGTTGCTGATCTGTACCAGCATGTGTGCAGGGGGTCAGAGCACCCCTGGCCCCATGACACTGCCCGTGCATGGCTTTTCCTGCAGTCAGGTTGGGGGATGCCAGCCTGCACTGTGTCTCTACCTTGACACTGGTCAGGTCAGTCTGGTCAGGTGTAGCATCCTAAACCGGGAAGAATTTCATAAGAATTTTCATAAAGCTCTAGCAACCCAATTTTGTGAGCTAAATAATAATCAGGATTTTTTTCCCCTTTCTCCGTAGTACAAACAAACAAAACCCCTGCATTGCAGCAATTGCTGAATTGCCTGTAACACAGTCCTGGTGATTAATCACTCCTGTGGTGAAACAGTGAGCAACTGGAACCAGAAAGGACTTTTTTGTTGTTGTTTGTTAGACTACCTTTCACTTTTGCTTTTTTGTTTCACTTAATTTACAGCTAAAAATGTTTCCTGGTGGCATTGTTGGGAGCCTGATGCTGGGAGGATGGCTCCGTGCGGGGAGGTGACAGAGCTCCTGGAGGTGCCAGCACTGCTGGGGATGCATCCTTGCTGTCACCTCCTGCCTGGGCCTGGGGGGTCTCTGGGTTTTTCCTGCTCTTTGCCACTTGCTGTTAGGTTTGCAGAGTGTTTGCCATTCGTGGTTATCATAGATGTCTGTGTCTTGCAATCAGCTGCCTGGGGAACCCATCTGGATGGTCTTTAGTGATGGGAGGAATTAGTGGTGCCTTTTGTATCTGCTCACCTAACACGTAGCCTTTTTTTTACTTTTTTTTTTTTTTTAAGTAATTGCTCTTTTTATTGTTTTAGCACAATTCTAGTACTGTGAAGAAGATGATCCAGGGGCCAGAGCACTGTCCCTCCTGTATCCCATAACCTTTTTTTTTTTTTCCCCAGAGTTGGAATTTTTTTTTCTTCTTGGTCTGGCAGCCCCATCTTGTCAGCTTTGGCTGTGGTCCTGTCATTCAGGCTTGCAGTAGACTCTGGAAGTGGAAGGGAACTGAACCAGGATTGCTGGTGTAATGTGTTCCCTAACTGTGGTGGCTGTGCCTTTGCAAGCTAACTAGAAAAGTATTTTCCCATTGTAGCTGTGGTTATTTTTATTTTCTAGTGGTTTATTAGCCTGTGATGGGGACTCGTAGGCCTGTGAGAAAAACACTGGGGAGGCTTGTGTTGCTTCTGTTCATCCTTTGCCATATTTGACAAAAAACGTGGGGTGGCAGGATGCTGTTTGATCATGAACACGCGTGTGCTGTGCCAGTGCTGGTAAACTCCCTGTGGGGAGCTCATAGAGAGGGGGATAGGAGATGCTGTGAGATCTCTGTCAACTTGCAGATAGAGGGGAAAAAATCTTTTAATGATGAGCAGGATAAGTCTGATGCAGGATTACAGACTTAGTGATGTTCAGGTCTCCTGATATCATATTTATAGACTACAGAACTAAATAAACAAAGCAGATCTTCAGCCATGATCAGGAAACTTGTACTTTTGCTGTCCCATTCCCAGCAATGCCATTGCTGTACTGGTGTGTCAGAGGCCTAAAGAGGAATTTACAAGCATGAAAGTGTTTTTTCCCACCGTGTTCGCTGGTTTGATAGATGTTACTTCTCCCTCCAAATCCTGTGTTGGGACTGTGATTTCACTTTCCTCCAAAGCAGTGATTTTCTCCCTGGGACTCCGATGACGGTTGCTGTCTCTCCTTGCTGCTGCGGCTATTTTTGCTGCACAAGGCCCTCCGGCACGAAGTCGTGACTCCGGGGAGGTCAGTTCACTACTGCAGCAGGAGTTCAGATTTGCAATGTCTCGTTCACTTATCTTTTTCTGTCTTTCTTTCTTTCCTTTTCTTTGTTTCCCTGCAGAACACAAGTGCCCAGTGGACCAGAGGGAGCAGTTAGAAGAAACCCTACCTCTTATTTTGGGCCTGATACTGGGGTTGGTTATCGTGGTAACCCTCTGCGTTTACCACATCCACCACAAGCTGACAGCCAACCAAGTGCAAATTCCTCGGGACAGATCTCAGTACAAACACATGGGATAGGGGAGAGGATTGGGCAGCCCAAATATTTATCAGGTAGAAAAAGCAAAAGCACTTTTTTCTAAGAGTGAAGACAAGGTTGTGGGGGGGCGAGAGATGGTATTCACAACACCTGAGCATGGGTATTTCGTGGAGGCACACAGATTAAAGTTAGGCTTTAGTATAGTCAGTGTAGAGCCACAGCTGTGTCTGTAAGGAGACTCAAGATCGTCTGATGCTAGGGGTCCGTCAGTGGCAGTAGGTGCTATGAATACCTTCTTAAGCAGCTGGGCCGATCATCTGGAAACAAATGCTTCACATGTCAAAGTTTAACACTGGGGACAAAGTAAGTTCTTTTTTCTCCCTTCTTTTCCCCTGCTCTGGGGCTCTTACTTCCCCAGCACGCTGCTCTTGGCAGTGTTCAGCCCTCTCCCTTCATGTCTGTGCAGGGAGGAGGGCTGGGGGACAGAGCCATTGAACAAACTTAACATTAAGGTCCTCTAATGAAGGGACTCAAACCACATTCTTGAAGTTTGCATTCATGTTAAGGAAAGCATGAAGGCAATACAGGTGTGTTTACACAGCTCAAGCTGGTGTAAACTGGAGTAACTCCAGCAAGGCAGACCGCAACCAGCTGAGGAGCTGACCCCACACTTGAGGCTGAGTGAAGAAAATTTGTTTTTGCTTCTTGAGCCACATCTGAACTAAACATAAAAAAAAAAAAAAGTATTGATACACAAATTATAAAGTGTCATGCTACTGCAAGTCTACTGAGAAATGCTTCTGGCTGGACATCCTGCACGTATTGTGATTGTCGTTGAGATGTTACATTGCTACCTGCAACTGGTATATTCACACTGAAACAAAAAAAAAGGAAGAAAACAGAAATGTTAATTAGTAGTTACTATGCAGATTATGCAGATTATTCAGGTATAATCTAATGTAACAGAAAAAAAATATAAGGAAACCCTTGAAATCTACCCTTAAATGTAGACCATTTTTAAAATTAATTAAAACATGTACATATATAATACATGATTTGCCTTCTTGTTTTGAAATGACATAATGCTTTTTACTAACTCAATGATATCTAATGGAATCAGTGCAAAAATACATGAATGGATGTTAAATATAGGATTTATTCTAGCAATATTTTGGTGCAGATGGTTTGGTGAAGACATGGTGGTGGCTCAGTATTCTGTGATTTGTTGACTATTTCTAATATTCTTCTAATCTCTGGGCCATTTCTTTCTTACCTGTTTTGTGGGCAATTGTGTGTTTCACTCTGGTCCCATCCAGTTCCACTGAAACCTTTGACTTCTCTTGGCTCCAGTGTTACTGCAACAAGAGTTAGTGCAGACCTTGTGTTAGTTTAGGGTATGGAAAATACCTTTTTCTTCTCGAACTGATGTGATCCAAACAGGGACTTGTACAAACTGCCCCCCTTTGGTTTAAAACAGGGTAGTAGGCCAAGAAAGATAGTAATATCAATGTTCAGTAGTGGAAGAGGAGAAACTTAAATGCTTTTTAAGGCTGCAACCTCCTCCAAAATTTATGCTTTGCTTTTTTTTTTTTTTTTTTTTTTTTTTTTTTGTCTTCCTGGAAATTTTAGAGAACGGGGTGAAAACAAGGGTGGATGGAGCAAGAGCCTTCCCTTAGCCCTGTCTTATTCCTGGTCTAATTTCTGTGTTATGCTGGCCTTTTTGTTTTCTCATTTGGATGATGCTTGTGGCTTTGCCCTTTTCATTTAAAACTCCAGTGAAAGTGTTCTGGGCGGGCTTTAGGCTGACCAAGTGCCACTGCCTACAATGATCTGGTTATTATTTTAAAAGAAAAAAAAAAGTTCTTTCAGAGGCAGTCAGAAAAAGCCATAGGTAGCAGGAGGGTAAATAAAAGGATTAAAGGCTCATCCTTAATAGAGAGGGGCTGTAGTTATCAGCTTTGTCCTGCCTCGCTCTTGCCTGCCCTCCAGCCAGAACGGCTCTCGCAGCCCGCTCTCATCGGCCTGGAGCATCTGCTCCTGTATTTGACATCCCAATAAAATAAAATAAAAAAGGAAGCAAACAGCTGAACTGCAGATGCCAATTGTCATTTGTCATTTGTCTTCTGAATAGCACGTTGTGGCAGGGTGGCTGCAGGAACGCGCTGTTGGGATGGTATGGTTGTGTGGGTGAGCAGTGGTGGGGCAGGACAGGGTGCCCAACCTGATGTAGCTCTTTTAAAGAAAAAAGTTATTTAAGGTGTTGAAATAAAACCCTTTGAATTTTTTCATTCTTTCCATCCTTTTGCTAACAATTATTTACTGAATTTGATCTGACTTTGCCATCAATTTAAGCTTTCCAATGCTATTTTTGAAAAAATTATTCATGAGAGAGGTTAAAAAAACTGTCCAACTTCCCTCCTGCCCATCAAAATACAGCAGCGTCTTGAAGATGGCAGCACTTTTATTGTGATTTTATTTTATATTTAGCTTTCATTCGTTGATGGCTTATTATGAGCTAGCTGCAAACTTGAACACTCTGCTTTATAGATGTTTATGAACACACTGGTAGAAGGTGGCTAAATATAAGAAACTTATCACCCTACTGAGCTCTGTAAGGACCTGTAATAATTAGGCACTTCTACTAAAGCAGCTGTTAATGACTCACAAAGTACTTATGAATAGAACTTTAATTAAAAATTATTGATGTATTGCTGAGGAGGGGAGTTACATAGCCAGTAAATGCCCTGGCTTCTGCTACTGAAAATATGAGTATTTTTGAATACTTTCAGAGCTGGTGAGCTCAGAGCCATCATTGCCGAGTGACAGGCGGGAATAAATGCACTGGAGTCACTGGCCATATGCAGAGCTCGGCCTCGGCTGGTGCAGCAGATGACATGTCTTCTAGGTGAATGGGTGCTCCCAACATCTGGTATCTGAAAAAATAAAACTCACGAGTCTATTTTTTTGCTGAGACGCCCAACAAGGGCAAGACTGCATGGCTCACAAGGTGATAGTGATGGAGGAAATGGCTTCTGCAGCGTGGACACTGCAGGAACCAGGAGAAGGGCTTGAGCGTCATCAGGCTGCAGGAGACAAGACCTGGGAAGATCCTACAGAGGTTACCCAAGGAACAAATCTGCAGAGGGTGATGAACATGGCTCAGTCAACTCTGGAGCCCAAGGTAACAGGCCATGGTTATTTCCTGCTTTTTTGCCTGGTTCTGGCTTTATTTGAAGTGCTGTGGGTGAAACAGCCGAAGTTAAGGGTGGTTTTTTTCTTCTTTTGGAGTTACGGCTAATGCATTGTGAAACATTTACTTACGTCAGCAACCAAAACTAATATAAAACCTCATAAGATTTGAAACTGCTAAAGAGAGCAACTAATATTGTAGATTCATTTGCTGACTGATGCTAGTGGGGAGACTGGGAGAGGAATGGTTTCAGCAGGCATGAGAGCTGAATGGTTACAAGCCAGAAAAAGGATGTGTAAGGCAAAAAAAATATATATATATATATTTAGGGGGAAGGGAAAGGAATGTGGAAATGTTTCAGCAGGTATGATCTTTCTGGAGTACTTCATATGCAGAGCTGTATGAGTGTGCTACTAATTTCTCAGAATTTTCTGTACTGTGTGACTGACCGCAACGGGATGTCTGGGTGTTTCTTTCAAGTGCTGGCATTGCTGGCTTCTGTTGAGCCATGAAAGTTTTTTTTCTGTGTAGGCATAGTTGTGTATTTCTCTACTGGAAGTAAGTGTGTGTATGTGTACGCGCGCAGGTGTGTGTGTGGGGGGGGGGGGACCCTTGGAGTGGCTCTAGCATGGTATCTTGGGGTAAAATGGATATTTCTCAATATTTCTCCAACTACATTATTTGCTTCAGCCTGACAAACCACACTGGTGATTTCTACCGTGGGGAAGTGTCTTCCAGTGCAAGGAGAAGAGGGGAGGCTGATGCATGCCAAATGGGTGTTCTGGGCCTGAGCAGGACTGGCTTGGGGAGGGCGAAGGTCCCAGGGACAAAGTAAGTTTCCCATGTCAAGGTTTGGTGATACAGATTTGAATTATTATTTTCCCTCCCACCCTGGGGGGTGGGTTTTGTGCTGTATTTAGAGTATTTAGCTCAGATGCTGCCTGGTTTTGCCACAGCCCATTGTACTGCATACCCTGACTTTGCACTTTCATCCCTAGGGCAAATTAAAGTGTGTGAGCAGGGTTTGTTTGGTTTTTGTGGGGTATGGTGGTGGTGTTCTGTTTTGGTTTGGTTTGGTTTGGTTTGGTTTTGTTGTAGTCATGTGGGGGCTCTTTTTGCCTCTTACAACCTGCTCAGCGTTGTTTGTCAAGTCTGATGTGCTTGGGACAGCTGTTAAGTCTTCCTTCCCTCCGTGCCCCTCTGCCCCCGCCCCAGCCCAGCCCTAATTTTGGGTAGAGGCACAGTCAGAATCTCAAGCTTCTTATTAATGTCCTGTCGTTCATCGTAAGTGTTTATGCAGTGATTGTGCCATCAACTAGGAGAAAAATTTACTGAGACTGAGATGTACTTTTTTTTTGAGCTCTTATTCCTACCTTCTTAATTCGGAAAATTATACCTGGACAGCATCATTTCACTCTGCAACTGCCTTAAACTAATAAATAAAATTTAAAAAAAAAAACCCTGTTAGTGTGCGTGAGCGCGCATATATGTGTGTGTCACTGTCTGTGAGTGCGTGTGTCGGTCACCCTGTGTGTGAGTGCATGTGTCCGTCTGTCACCCTGTGTGTGAGTGCATGCATCCGTCACCCTGTGTGTGTGTGTGTGTGTGTGCGTGCCCGTCACCCTGTGAGTGCGTGCGTCTGTCACCGTGTGAGTGTCCGGCACCGTGTGTGTGAGTGCGTGTGGCCGTCACCCTGTGTGTGAGTGCCCGTCACCCTGTGAGTGAGTGCGTGTGTCCATCACCGTGTGTGTGAGTGCGTGTGCCCGTCACCCTGTGAGTGCGTGCGTGTGTCCCCGTGTGTGTGTGTCAGTCACTTGTGTGTGTCCGTCACCCTGTGTGTGAGTGTGTGAGTGCCCGTCACCCTGTGAGTGCGTGTGTCCATCACCGTGTGTGTCCATCACCCTGTGAGTGCGTGTGTCCGTCACCGTGTGTCTGTCACCCTGTGTGCATGCGTGTCCGTCACCATGTGTGTGAGTGCGTGTGTCCGTCACCCTGTGTGTGAGTGTGTGCATCCGTCACCCTGTGTGTGAGTGCGTGCGTCCGTCGCCATGTGTGCGCATGTGCATGTTTCTGTCACTGTGTGTGTGGGTGGATTTCCGTCACTGTGTGAGTGTGTGCATCGGTGTCTTAGTGTGTGTGGCTTTGTTTGTCTTTGTGTCACTGCGTGTGTGTTAGTGTCATTGTCTGGGTGTCTCTGTTTCTCTCTCACACACCTGTACACGGCCTCTTGCTTTCCTGTTCTTTGCTTGCTCCACTCCAGTCTCAGTCACATTTAGAAAGCAGGCACGGGGCAAGAAAACCACACTGAAACTGGAAGCATTTAGTAATGAATTTATTGAACTTGCATGTGCATTTGCCTCACCAGCAGCTTGTGTTCACAAAAAAAACTTTTGAAGACTGACAAAGCTTTCAGTAAACTCTATGAATACTGTTTAAAGTATATAATGATTAGAAAGTTGCAGAAAATTCTTGACTTGTACAGCCTAAAATGTGCTGAATATTGAAGAAAAAAGCCCCCAACAACCCCTTCCCCACCTTTTTTTTATTCAAAGATGGTTAAAAAAGTTTAATTTTGTGGCTAGTATTACAGTTTCATCTGTATGTCATTTCCTTTACCAGTGCAGCCTTTTTTTTTTCCTGAGTTGTCAAGATTATAACAGAAACACCTCTGAACACCGTGGGCGCTTGGTTTCTGCAGGTGGGCACCGGGAGCGTGTTTGCGGCAGGGTGGCAGGAGCCAAACACATTTTCTTCAGTGTCTTCTTAAAATGTGCAAACAGGGTTAAGAAGAGAGAGGAGCGGGGAGTAAGACGCACAGTTCTAAATATTTATTCAATGTTCAAGTTCATATTTACCTCCTTCCTCTTTTTTTTTTTAATTTATTTTTTCTCTCCCTTCAAATGTTCTTTAAGGGCAGTAATAAAGGAGCTTCTTTACTACTGGCAACTCCTTCATCCTGGAGGAAGGTCTTTAAGAAACAGCTCCTGCCAGGTTTAGATGTTTGGTTATTATTTCCTACAATAAATAACAATTAATTTATTCACTACAAAATTCTGTAATAAGAAATAAACTGTGTTCCCACAAAATTTGCTTTGTGTTTCTTAATGATACTGTAAAATGAGGTCTGTAAGAAAAAAAACCCAACCTTTAAAAACATGGCTTTTGTATTATATATAATTAAGAACAAATCATTAATAAATAAAATTCATTTATCATTGAAATAATTATGAAGCACTTCTAAAAATTTTAAAGGCAAATCTATTTAGGCCTACAGTTAACATGCAAAGTCATCCAACAAATAACACAAAATTGTACCATAGCAGTCAACTGTTGCATCAACATTCAAAAAGGTCTAGACAGCAGCACGACTTCTTCTATATGGCAAACATAACGCATCACAACACTCTGTTTGGGCTCTGGAGGATACCTGCCGGGTGGGTGGGCAGACTCCTGGCATCCCTTTCCACTTCCAGAGCAGGACAGAAGTAATGGAGATTTTTGTGATAGTAAAACTGACCTTACGGTTGCATAAAACAAAGGGGCAGCAACGGCGTGAGAAGATGATCACGGAGCAAAGGTACGTTGGATGCATTGGCACCCACCGCTGGAGAAATGGGGAGATGAGGGAGACCCTGATGACCACTAATGGTCAGCAGCAGCTCTGATGGCTGCTGCGTCACTGGCAGCACCAGGAGGGCAAGCGCTCGAAGCCAGACTGCCAGTGCCCCCACAAGCATCAGCGCCGTTGGCTCTTGGGGCTGCCTCAGTGGCGAGACGAGTGCTCTCCTGACCTCGATGGAAAATCTGCAAAACCGTCTAACTTCTAAAGGGTTTAGGGTTGTCTTCTGTTTTCAAAAGGGTTAAAAAAGTAGGAAACTTTTTTATCTTCTCAAATTCTTGCTAAGTTACACTTATTACTTCAACTAACACAACAGCTACATGACAAAATACTGCAAGTTATCAAAACGTACTGTACAGAAAATTACAAATTCGTTTCAAAATACATTGCGCTGCTATGACTTGAGATAAAAAGTGCTTTTTTTTTTTTTTGTCAGAACAGTGTTCTTCTGAAATAGAAGTGCTGTAGCCCACAATAAAATTCTGGTGTTTCCCTCTGGTTGTGCTATCTTCTACTAATTATCTTTCCAACCTTGTTTGCATTTGGCGCCTTCTGCCTCGGGTGGCTGAGAAGAAACAGCGCTGGGGAGCGACAGACCACCCAGCTGGTGGCCCGGATTGCTCCCCGGTCCCTCGCAGCCCCAGAGAGCACCTTCTCGGGTTTTTATGCACCACCATATTTCTGCAGGGCTGGTTTTCCTCGACAAGGTTTCACTCTTCCCTGCCCACAGTTCCCAGACAGCTGCAGGCATTATATCTGGACTCCTTTTGAAAAATCACTGGCTTCAGCGGTGTCTGTGCTGCCTCATGAGTGGCACAATGCAAGAGGGGGGCCCAGACAGTTTGAGAAACGAGTGTCTCAACAGTTCCTGTGCCGTGGCTCTCTGCGAGGGCTCCCGCACCAGCATCAAGTCCAAGAAGCCCCGGAGGACCGAGGAAACCTGCAACATCGCACCGGCATTAGGGGCGGACAAAGACAACCGTTTCCAGCCTACACTGGGTCTGTGCACACTAATTTTCTTGGGAAGACAAGGGGCCCCCTGAGCTTTCCTGCGGCAATAGATGTACTGAGCTGAAGGGCTGTGCATTGTCTATGTGCTGTTAATGTTGAAAGCGGGATGTAGAACAGCGCACACTGCACAGCTTTGCATGCGGTGGGTAAGAAAAGCATTAGCGTGTGCTGAGGGCTCGGGTCTGACTTCTAGAGCACGTCCAAAATGGGAGGTACCCGTAGGCTTTGTCACTGGGCATGGATGTACCAACACACCCGCAGCAGGGCTGATGTGCTAACTTGCTTTGGTCCTTGGGCCCGGTGGGAAGCGCAGGAGCACGAGGCTCTGCCCAGCGCCCTTCTCTGCCACTCGCTGCCAAAAGCAAAGCCAGGGCCACACACAAAACGGCTGTGGTTTGCTTGTGGCTTTGGCCTTATACCCTCCCCACACAAGGCTTATGTAGGACCCACTGCTCAAGGTGGTACCTTAAAGATGCAATTTAGCTGTTGGGCGTGGAATTGCATGGCTATAATTCTGTTACACCTTTGTACGTGCAAGACCTGCGTCATGTACAGAAAGTCTGACCTTGTGCATGTCCTTCACCCGCGGCGGTAAGTTATCCCGGATTCGGCGCATGGCCTGCAGTGGCGGCTCGTTGAAGTAGGGAGGTTCGCCGTCAATCATCTCTATCACCATGATGCCCAGGGACCAGATATCCACCTGTAACAAACACACAGTCCCTTTGTAAACACTGCTGTTAGCACAGAGAGGAGAAAACAGGCTCAACACTTGGGGTCATGCAAACCCCTGAGCTGGCTCATGTTGTTGTACTTGCTGTCTGCGGCCAGTCTAAGCCAACAGTCTGGTGAGCCATCACCATAAATCTTTTTTTAACTAGCCAACAACATTTTTCTTCTTCTGAGCAGTAAGTGCATTGAAGAAAAAAACCTAGAAACTACTTACAAAACCAGGCCTGCAGCCAGCTTAGGTGATACCCACTCATTTGAGGGGCTGGCTGCACCTCCTGTGCTGCATTTCAGCTGTGCTGCACTGCACCCAGTGAATATGCCATGCTGCAGAAAGGTGCATGGCTGTGCTGTTTCCCCTGGAATATTAAAGACTACAGGAACTCCAGCTGAGACCCCAAGGCAAACACAAGCACTTACTACACCCAGGCCTTTTGCCAGTGAGCACAGGTAACACATTTTATAATCCCTCTGGAAAGTTATTCAGCTCCAGCTTAAAAAAAACCCTGCAAAACTTTTTTTTTTTCTCTTCTATTTTTGGTACTGGCCTGCTGCAGAGCTGCTCCACAATTCCAGTCCTCTGATGACTGCAATTCCCGTCACTTGCCAGCCCAAATACAGCCAAGGCCAGTTTATATTGCTTTTGCTCTTCTGCCAACACTATCCTTCAGCTTAAATCTTCCTTTTTTTCCCCTCCATTTCCCTTCTGGTGGGAAACCTAATGTAGCCATAAGTGCAGCTACTTTATAATCCCTTCATCTTATTAATGGGCTAATAATAGCTGGTGTTATGATCCCTGCAACGTCTCCTACAATGCCACAAATCCAGGGTGAACACCGGTGCCTGCAGGGTGCTCTCAGGTGGGCACTCTCCCTGCCTGCGCCAAAGCGGTCTCTGTTGTGCCATGTGAAGATGCAGCATCTCCTGTCTCAGGCCTCGCTTCACTTCCCTTTCTCTGTCTGTATACATATGTGTATGTGTGCATATGTATATGTGTCTAAAACTATATACATAAATATATATACTGGGCTTGCAGGTTTACTCTCTGCAGCTGTTACTACAGGCACTATCAAGCAGGAGCTGACTCCCCTCACCATGCAGAGGAGTCTCTGTCTGGGGAGGCGTGAGTCACGGTCACGGCTGAGCGTGCGAGAGGGGACTGCTCCTCCCGGGCTGGCCGTGCAGAAGTGCCGCGACTTAGAGCTTCCTCACACAAGGGGTACTGCACTGCATAGCTGCCGAGTCCCCACCTACAGCCTCTTGCTGGGCTCATCTTGAAGGACTCCAATAAAAACTTGTGATTTGCCTCTTTTTTGGACCATTTGGAGGGGTTAAATTAGTTCCCACAGATATACTTCCCCCCCACCTCAAGTAATGAGAGACTGAGTGCAGGGAATGGGCTGATGTGGAGACACAGAGGGTGCAGCCCAGCCCATGCTGCTGGCTCCTGTGACTGGGACCCTCCGGGACCATGCTGGTGCCTTTGCCAGCACTCCTCCAGAGGAACGGGATCTGGGGCTTTAGCTGGATGAAAGCAGAGTGGATCTCTGCCTGCAGGGCTGAAAACAGTGTCTGCCATGGCTGCGATCTGGCTGCTGGTTTGGCATATGCAGGTGCAGACACCTGTAAGTGCAGCTCCAGCCTTCAGGCTCGATATAAAGGTCATCAAAGGGCCTTTCATGATGTGAAAACAATTCCAGTTTCCTTTAATACAGCACCCTGACCTAAAATACATAAAAGCACTGCATTGCTTAGTGCTCTAAATGGAGTTGTTATTTAACCACACTTCTTGGAGAAACACTTTCAAACAAGGCACTAGGTAGCCCTCTGGGGCAAACTTAATTGCTGCTATTTAGAATATCTGTGTAAATGTAGTTGAACGGTATGTTTCTCACAGGCCTCGGTGTGGTTGCCCAAGGCATCATGCAGAGGGAAACCGGCTGCGCTGCGTGCCCCACCATACTCACCTCGGTGCTGTAGGGCAGGCGGGATATCACCTCCGGAGCCATCCAGTATGGCGTCCCAACCAGCGACTTCCTCCTGGGGACCTCCTTTGACACTTGGGCACAGAACCCAAAGTCAGATAATTTTATCTGAAAAGCAAAGAAAAAGCTCTGCTTGAATTACAAGGCAAATTCCTCTGAGACACACGTGCCTCTGAGACACATCTCCAGCTGCCACTGGAGGGGATGGAGCTGCAGCATTTGCCTGGGAGTGGACAGCAGTGCCATTTTGGAATTGTGGCTGGAGACAGCGATACAGCCTGGGAAGCACGTGGCTAATTAAAATGAAGGCAAGGAAAAGAATTTGGAGAGAGTGGCAGTGATGCTCGTTATTAAGATCACTTGTCATAGCTCATTGCCTCTCCACCAGCAAAAGATGCAGAGGTCATAAGTGGCTTATAATATTTAAAAAATAGAAGGAAAGCAAAGAATTCTGAAGTAACAGTATTTTATAACGAATCTGTTATTGCACATACACAAACCCCGTGTTTGTAGTCTATTTATGTACACTGATAGTAATATACATACTGCAAGTGATACACATCACTCCTATTATTTGGATCAGGTATAAAATCTGTGACTCTGCCAGAAAACAGATGAAACAAGTAGCGTTCACCCTGCAGAGAGCATGACCTAACACTCTCAGAAAGCAATCCTCCTGCCAATGATTTTTCAAGACCACGACCTCACACGGTGAACTATCACTACAGAGTCTCTCTTCCTTATGTAGTAAGGGAGCTAATTTGGGGAAGGCAGGGAAGGGTATGAGACTCTTCCAAAATGGTTGTAAGAGATAAGGGGCCCCACTCCCGTTGCTTGGGAACTCAGGAATTAGACAGTACTGTCCTTGAGGAGCTCTGGCAGTGACCTGAAATAGAAATAATGGGATACACAAAGCACACCGGAGAGCAGCTCTTGCTGCATCATGTGCCTGCTCAGACTTCTGTGCCAGGTTTTTTTTAAAACCAAAAATTATGGAAAATTATCACCTCCCCCTCCCCGCAGCTGTACAACACCAAGGTGAAAACTCCTCCACCCGCCCCCCCCAAACCAAACCAAACCAGAACAGTCTCAGTGTTGGTGGCATCACCCCTTACAGAAAGAGCTTGTTCCTTAATGCTAAAGTTTTTTTTTTTTTCTTGTTCCCCACATATTAATTTGGAGGCCTAGAAGCTATCACAAGGGTTCCCTGGACATTAGCCTAACCTTCCTCACCCCCAGCTCTACCCCACACAGTGCAACGGTGACCCATGTCCAAGGTCCACAAGCCATGTATCCCATCACGTCTGTGGCTCCTGGGGACACAAAGTGAGCCCGAACAGCCCCAGTACAACTGAAGTGGGAAGCTGCATAAATCCCTTCATTGTGTAGACCAGCATCTTATTATCAGCACTGATTTGTTTTCTTTTGGATTCAGTAAAGACCTTACTTTTTAAAAAACTAAGGGTGTTATTTTTTAACAGAATTATGAAATGATTGTTGGTGTTTCTAAAACAAAGCAAATAATAGCCTAGTTCTCTGTGATAAATGTATTTTTCAGTTTACAGGATGAAGAATAGAAGAAATAATGCATATTTTGGAAGCAGAGCCCAATCTTCTTTTGTGGGAGTACAAGAGGTTTTGCATATCTATCGCTCATTTGAGTACATAAAAGAAGACTATTTTCTAAAAAAAGATAATTGCACAACACAGCCATGAAGAAATCTGCAATGCAGATAAGTACTGGAGTAATGAGTATAATGAGGCACTGTATGCAGATCCTGAGAGCAGATCAGATGCTTTTTTCAGCAACATGGATTGAAATCGTAACTGAAAAACTCCTACACACATGGAATTTTTAACAGGAGCAGCCTGTGACCGCTGCAGGAAGAAAATCCCTCTTCCTTAGTGAAGTGGGAATTAAATTATAAAGGCGAGCCTTTGATTAGGGAATCAGACCAGGCTTGGGAAGCCAACAGTTTTACCTTCTGAAGGAGAAAATCTGGGTTTCGTTCCAGGACAACTGGGTGCTCTTGGGCTCAGTCCAACCTGCTAAGCCAGTCTTGCTTTAGACAGGTGTGTAACGCCAGTGGAGCAACCTTTAAAGCCCTGCTTATGGGACTCACTGGCCATGAGTGCATTAGTTTTCACTCAAATTATCCCAATGACTTCACAAGGTGAGATGCATACTAGTGCCTAACTCAGGCAGACATTAGGGTCTTATGAGCGATTGGCTTCCCTCTGGATAAGCATTTGGGTGCCCCAAGGTTTAGGTGCCTCATGTTTTACTGCTGTGCATGCACAGAAATACCACAGCACAAACCTACCTTTCTCCTTGTACAGGAATAACAACCTCCTTGCGACCAAACACTGCACTTTCTGCATGCAAACTTTATTTTGCTCACTGAGCGGGTCATGTGCAGCATTTTCTCTCCCTCTCCCCCCACTTATTAACACCACAAAGACCAATTCATTGACAGCAGCCCACCCATCCAAGTAAATGAAAGTGTGAGACAGCTATTATCAAGCACCTTGGAAGTGTACCTACGGTAAAAGCTACTCTCACCATGAGGAGTGTTTCAGCAGTCATGCAGAATATTTCCTGTTTGTATAGATTGATGTTAGCCTCCTAACTAGCTTGGGAAAACAGAGCAGATGTATAAAAACTTGCTAACTAAGGCATAACTAAATGCAGGAAGAGTAAAATATTTTTGAGAGGCATCAGAGTAGGAGTGGTGCAGCATGAAATCCGTCACCTAATTATCACACACGTGGCACAGCTTCTTCTGCCACTGCCTTTTGATGGCTCCGATTCCCCCCCATGGGGACTCTGCATGCAGTGCAGATGTCAATCACTGGCCAGGCCTGTGTTTTTCTGATTCAGCTCTCTAACAAGTTATTCACAGGTTGTATTCCTTGATTCCCGTGCCTGGCTTATTTTTCTAAATTAGTGTCACTTTGAACATACACAGCTATTTTCATGCCAGCCCCAAGAGACGGCAAGGGAAACGTTGGGCACTCACCCTCCCATCGCTTGTGAGAAGGATGGAGTCACTTTTGATGTCACGGTGGATGACACCTTGGTTGTGCAGGTAGGACAGGGCTCTCAGGACGGACAGGCAGACAGTTGCTATCTGCTCCTCATTCATCCTGAAACAGCAAGGTGAAAAAACGAGCTGAGTGTTAATGAAGACAGTGGGAAAGGGGAGCTGGAGCAAAGAGGCACAAGTTCCCCTTCATGCGAGTATACAGACAGGAAGAAGATGTTTTAGGCAACTGTGGTGCAACTCTCTGGTCCTACTTCTCTCGAAAAAGGGGAGATAAGGGATGAGGAACAACTCTGCAACGAGGTCTGGATAAGTCCTCCTGCAGCACTGAAAAAGCACCATGTGATGTAGTGCTACAGTAAGCCTGCTTCCGTCTGGGAAATAATGGAGATGCCTTATTTACAGTAAACTTACTGCTTGCCAAGGAGGGTAAATCACTACTGGGACGGAAACAGGCATGGAATAACTATGAGAAAAAAACCTCTTAACTGTGCAGACAAAACATCAGGCCCTGGGTGTAGCTCTTTGAAAGCACTTCCTTTGCTTTTATGCCTTCTATAAAAATACTCAGGGTATTTCAGTAGAAAACTAAACAGCAAGAGTCCTCATTTCTGTGCAAGTGTGCCAAACCTGTTCTAGAAGAAGCTGTGTGCCACAGCGTGATGGGGATGGCCGGGATGGGTGGTGTACCCTGACCCTGCTGCCCCAGCATCCATATTACGTGACCAGAAAAACACCTGCAGAGATTTCTGCTTTAATTTTGTGTGCCATTTGCAGTATTTTAGCAAAATCTTTGACAGAAGGTCATGCGATGTAAAAAAAAAAAAAACAAACCTCAGAAGATTAAGGAAAAACTATTTTAGACAAAAAAGTAGATGACAGCTCTTAAGAGGTGGTACATCTGGGAACATCTGTTTGCTGTTAAACTCCTGTCAGAAATATCTAAGATAGAGCTTTTAATGTTTTGAGGGGCAGTAGTGAACAAATGACTTGCAATATTGTGATTTATATCAACACATCAGCTAAGGCAACACTGAAAAATAAAATCCCTGTTACAACTCTGCTTTTGGTAGTAGGATCTAAGAGCATTGTTAAATTATGAGAGAAGACAAATTTTCTAATTTACTGTTCCTTGCTTTTCTTCTTGCTCACCTAAATACTCCCCCACTGGTTTGATGTGGAAATACATTTTTTTTTAAATTCAAGAGGAAGAAATTAAAAAAAAAATTCCTCTTCCCTATCTCATTTTCTCCTGCATATCAGGACAAGATCAGTGAAGAGCAGATATAAAGAGGGCTGTAAATTCTAATGTCTCCACTCAGAAGAGGATGAGCGGTTCCATACACTACAGCTTTTGTGCCAGCAAATCACCTTCTTTAAAGGTATGATAGTAACTGAAATATGGGAACAAGCTCTACCATAGGCACAACTATTCTGATATAAAGATACTTTTCCCACTATGTTTTAGACTTGGTTTGCAGGTAACATTTCTGACAGCTTGGCTATGTGGGTTATGAGTATGGAGAGAAATCCCCCTTAGAACTGACGTAGTTATAACAGCAAAAAAACACAACAATACAGATCACCAAACAGGGAAACAAAGGGGCTTTTGCCGTTTTAGAAAGTAACGGATAAAAGTTGTGCCCGTGCTAAATTACCTCCCAAAGCTGTGGCAAATCGCCGTCTGCCAGCAAGCCCTTTCAGGTACTTCTTTCCCTTCTATTTAAAAAGTGCTGGTGCTGACAGGAATTCACCTGCAGTGGCTTAGTTATGCTGGTAAAGTGAGTTTGCTACAATATGCGTATAGGTGCATGTGTATATATGTAAATATATGTATATACATACACACGTATATATTTTCCATGTATGTATATTGTATGCATGTATGTATTTTATGTATTTTGCAGGTATATACAAACATACAGCAATAAATCTATATATATATATAAAAATACATCTATAGAGCCAGGAGGTACCCAGCTTCCCTCAGCATGAGGCAAGGTCTGGAGGGCACGGTCTGGAGGCATCTGCAAAGGAAAGCCAGGGAACCTCCCTCCTGCCCAGCTTGCACGGTAGGATTTACACTGCAGCACACCCTACCCACCTCGTGTGAGTCACTATATCTGTCAAAGCGCCGCCCTCCAGAAACTCCATCACAACCCACAGCTCGTCACCAACAAGGTAACTGTTGTACATGTCAACCACGTTTTCATGATGGTAATCTCTCATGATTACAACCTGTGAGGAAGAAAAAGGCGATATGTGAACTGCTACAAGCATTATCTGACACTTGTTTTGACCTTTTTTTCACTGTACTTTTCTCTTTGTGCTTAGTAAAGGTTCTGCTGTGAATCACATCCTCCCTAATCCTTGTGCCAACGCATAAACAAAATCAATATATTTACATAAAAAATAACAGTCATCATAAATGCATTAGGAAGAAGGCTCTTTAGTTGCTGAATTACAAGTGGTAGATAACTGGGGTTTTCTTCAGACTGCAAGAACAGGACTGTTTATTTCACTGCTTTTTTTTATTGCCAATTGCTTTCAGTATAACAGGGATATTCTTTTTTTTTTGACCCAATCAATCGTTCAACCCATCGAAGTATTCTTCATTGTGCATCAAATGGTACTTTGCACAGAATTTTAACAGAATGCTGGTAATGCAGGGGATATTCATAAGCCAACTCATTCCCACATCTGAAAGGGACCGTACAGAATTGGGATGACCATGACCACTTGGTATCGAGGCATATCAGAAAGGCGATCAGGAGAGAAAACAACAGCCAAAGAAGGCTTCATTATCAGTGTGTAGATGGAGGAACTTCAGCACCACTGAAAATAAATTTTCAGATGACATGAGTGACTGCAGCGTGTCAGGGAAGCAGCTTGGTCCTGCACAGCATGTGGGATCTGCTTCAAGATGTTCCCATTCAAGAGATGCTCTGTTAGAGCAACCACAACGCAATTCAGTGCAAAATTCCAGCAGAAAAACAAAGCCAAAATACCCAGTACAGTCATGGACTGTGCAAAGGAGAACTGTGTGAAGTTTACTAAAAACTAATATCTTAACTAAAAACTCTTAAGTTTTTAAAGGTTTTAAAGAAATCAGTCTGTCACATGCTTATAGTTAAAATTCAGGAAACAAATGATAGAACAAAAAGTTAGTTCTCACAAGGTCTCCCTGGGGGACTGGCAGTGGGTTTGGCATATTCACAAGCGATCTCAAAAAGGGAGCAGAGAACACCCACCACTAGCTTCTTGAAGGGAGTAAGAAGAAAAAAAGAAGGAACTCACAGCATCAAACAACTGGGTGAAAAATAACCAAATGAAAATCAGTGCTCTTAAATTTAAAATAATGTACATGGGGAAAACAATCTTCCATAAGCAGTCGTGGGCTCTCAACTGGCTGCAACCACTCAAGAAAGGGGATGAGGGAATTAATTTAGATGATTCCATGAAAAAGGGACTGTCAGCTCTTTGTGAGGTGACCATCAAGAAAGCAAAGGGACAGCTAATGGTTGGGAGCGAAAGGAGGCAGGAAACAAAACGCACGTATATGCCAAGATGGTAAGGCATGTGCTTCTTGAATAGTCAGGCTAGTTTGGATCCTCCATCTCGGAAGAATAAAGTACACCAGCAAACGGTCAGAAAAAGGCAACTAGGCAATGCCTGTGCACCTGATACACTGCATGGACCAGCCAATAGATTTCTTAGTTGTTTACTGTGACTTCCCACCAGGTTACAGGTTTAAAGCCAGGAGGAGATATGACTCGATAAAGTACCCCAGCAAACGGTCAGAAAAAAGGCAACTAGGCGATGCCTGTGCACCTGATACACTGCATGGACCAGCCAATAGATTTCTTAGTTGTTTACTGTGACTTCCCACCAGGTTACAGGTTTAAAGCCAGGAGGAGATATGACTCGTTTGAAACTGGTCTAGCTATACACTATTTATGCAGCACAGATGTGCGTGGGACACCACCTCTTTTAGAATATTTGGCACCTGAGGTGGTCATTTGGCCCATGTCTCCTGTTAAACCTACCACGTGCAAAATCCATTGCACCACCCAAACCAGCATACCTCATTAAAGAGCAGCTCCCTTCTCTGCTGTTTCCTGAGATCCATCTTCTTCACAGCAACTTGCTTTCCCGTATGCTTCTCAGTGGCGATGCAGACAATCCCCGTGGAGCCCTCCCCGATCTTGATGAAGCTGTCCAAGTACTCCCGGGGATCACCAGGGCTGACCACAAGCTGCAGGGCAGCTCTGAACTGTTCGTGGGACACCCTGGAGGGCTGCTGGTCCGAGGAGGATCCCCAGCTGGGTGGAGGATAAGGACTTGATGTGATACTTGGGGAACTGGGGTAGGAGGCAGTGGAAATATAGGGAGAGCCGGGCTGAAGAGACTGCTGGTGATAGTGGGATGCTTTGTGATAGACCAGAGGGTACTGGTAGCTGCTGCTTGAATAGCTGACTTTGCTCTGACTTTGAGGTAGCTTTAGTGGGCCCCGGGGGTATGTGTCTGATCCAGAGAGCGGTGGGCTAACGACCAGCTGAGCTCGATCATAATCCACCTGCAATGCAAAAGCAGACGAGTGAACACAGATGAACAGACAGTTTTCTTGCTGTCCATCCAGCTGTCACCACTCGGTTCATTTTTGGCCCTGCCAGAGTTCCCTGGTGGAGTGCCAGCACAACGTATTCCTGTTTGTACCTGTCCTCAACGTGACACTGCTGCCCTGTATTTGAAATGAGATTTTTAAACCATCGGGCTGCTGTGCTCTCATCAGCACTAAAATGAGGGAAGGCCATGAGACCTTTTGTGCATCTCAGGTCCATTTTTCTGTCCAGGAACCTGTTCATAGATACAATAATCTTTGTTTAATGAAAGTGTATGCTCCAAAAAAGTGTATTTGCTCTGTATTTATAGTGCTCTGCAGGCTCTCTGGGCCACTCCTTCCAAGAATTCCTCCCTTTTACAAGCAGCAGCCCTTTGGCAAATTCTAGTTTGTGTCTTTCCTTTCAAATACTAGTTCCTGGCCTTTGACTCTCAGCCCTTACTCTTTTCTTGTGCTTTTCTCCAGCAATTCAGGGATGGCCCAACGTCTTCTTGTGGAGGTGGTGGTACCCTGAAATCCCTGTCATCTCCTGCCTTGCCTCACTACTGGCTGCTGTTTGAGTGACTGCATACGTGAGTATGACAAGGAGCCTAATTCAATTTACTGTTTCTTAGATAATTTTCCACCGTGACACACTACTTAACTGCATTGTCACAAAACCACTCATTTTCACTTGAAATCTAAGACAATCGCAGAGGAAATTATCCCAATGGGAGACCTTGTTCATTCGGAGGTTCCTTTCTTCCTTTTTATTTTCCTAGCTTTTCTAAGCTTGTTAAAGCAAATAAATACCTCACATTCGCAAACATAATAGTTTCCTTCTAGCCAAACTGAAAAAAAAAATATATATAAGACAAAAAAACCCACCCAAAACAAAGACACATTTTTTTCCCCGAGTAAAGAACATCTCCACGTTTACGATACCACATATGTGACTCCTGACGATGTGTGGTGCATCTCAGAGCAGGGGGTGGTTCGACACAGGCTCATGATGTAGCACAATTACAAATAATTATGGAAATTAGTTCATTTAATCAATCAATTTCAGTGGCAGTACACAGGGGTGGACAGAGCAGAAAACTCTACACAGCTCATGGTTGCTACTATTATTGCTGGCTGCTGGCCAGAAGTCCCTGATCCATGTTAGTTAAATGCACATTAATCTGAATCTGGCAGTGTAATCAAGGACCCAACTGAACTGTGAAATTGAATTCTGCGGTGGAACATCATTTGACCATTTTATGCTAAGACTGCAAAAAAAAAAAAAAAGTCTGCCGCAGCATCAATTTATCACCGCAGGCTGCTGCACAGTGAGGAGGAGTTTCTAGCTGGAGTCGCCCCAGTGCAAGGCGAAAAGCCTCCAAGTGCAATATTATATCAGCGCTTTCCTACCTCACGCGTGAGCCGGGCGTGGCCATATTTTCATTTTGCATGAGTTTTAGAAGGGAAGAGGGAATGCCTCTCCAGAGGGGCTGTTCAGAGATTTCCCTTGAAAGCGTGAAGCTGGAGCCTGCTTCCATCTGAGACTTGCACGCTGACAGCTACCAGCCATATGGAGCATCCAGTAAACACATAACAGTGTTGTACAGCCCCCTCCTAGGAGGCTGGTTTTGTTTAAGCAAAACATCCACACAATTAGAGCCATAATATCACTCACTCCATCAGGCAAGGGTAGCCATAAAATAGAAGGGGGTCAGAAACACCATGAATTTCGTGAAGGACGTTACATCTGCCAAACTAATTAACAGGGTAAAGTGCTCAGGTGGTTTGGTGGAGGGAGGGAAACTCAATCTAGTCCTGTCCTGTATATCTGTGTATGTAGGGACACATAAATTATTGCTTTGGCTGTAAATACACAATTTTCTTTTAACTGCTGCGATGGGGAAAGCCTTGTCTAGAAATTCAAGCTGGATAAATCCACACTAATGCATTATTTGAGGCTTCACCCATGCCTGATATTTCTGAGCATGTCCTAAGCTTGACACACTGTAAATTCCACAGTGAAATTTTGAAATGAAAATTCAGGGGGTTTGTGTGCTTGCTAAGAATTTTTGAAAGCTTTTTGAGGTTAGTATTGCAGTACAATGTAAACCCATTCATGTCCTGAATCCCATGAAATCTTACAAAAAATCAGGAGTAAATCAACCGAACCTCTCCTCTGAGGCTGTGTCGTGATGCAGTGCAAAATGGAACACGCTTTATTCCACTAATAATTCTATTTCTGCTACTGAATGCAGTTACCTACTGAAAGGAAATTCTTTAAATACTACGAAGGAAAGAAGAAACCAGTCCTGCGCTCATTCAAGATCAGGTCAAAGAAGCAGCTGAAGCTCTGGCAGCCATCCATCACTGTGCTGCGGTACCCTGCTGCTGCCAGCTGGGTTGCTTCACCGGCTTGCAGCATCACCCGCGTCTACACTTGGCTGCATCGGCAGTCGGGTGTTTTTATTGTTAAAAGGCAGATGTAACACTGTGTTTAAAATCATTTCAGTTTCCACTCTGACGACTGTGATGCCCGTTTTGTATCGTATGAGGTGGAAACACCTGCTCATGGGTGACGGTACCCTACCTGCAAGGCAGGCTGCTTGGGCAGCCTTTCAGCCCAGCGGATGTCCCCAAACACTCTGCGGTGGGACTGCAGCAGAGGTGGCAGCCGCAGCCCTGCAGCCGGAGCCCATATCCTCCTCTGGGAGTGGCAAGCCCAGGCTCACCCTTCAGTAAACGTAAAATGGATTTCTGTTTGATCATGTTTCAGTTTGCCAAAGTGAAAGGCGTGGAAGGGACGGTCTGTAAATCAAACGGAGATTGCAAGTGGAAAGGTTACCCTCTAGTGCTTTGCTGGCGGAAATCTCCCGAGACTCCCCGTTCCATGCACAGATGTGACAGGCAGTGCTCGCGGCATGTGAATGAAAAAACAGGGAAAAAGGAGAGGGTTTCTGATAGTAAAGGCTTGGCTCTGCCTTCACCAGGCTGGCAATGTCCTACTGGCACAGAGAGCCTGCAAAACACATCGCAGGAAAACAGCGCTGCGGGGCAGCCGTCAGATGAGAGAGACCTCTGCTATCTTACAGCAGTACGAGGTAGTGAAGGGGAGAGAAAAAAATCATGGCCACTGGGAAGAGAGACGGGAGAGGGTCACGGAGAGCTGCTACCGAAAAATGACAGGGAAAGGAGCTTTGAAATAATAGGATCCAGTGCAAGAAGTGAGGAGGGCTGTCTGCGATGAAGAGGAGGGTAAAAAGAAACATGCAGTACAGTGTCTAAAAATAAGCAGACCTGGTGGGATGAGTTTGACATTGTGTGACAATATTGAGAAGATTCCATTGAACAATGTGGGATATAATATCTGTGTCACGAGAGCAACACAGCAGATGCTGCAAACCCATGCTAGTGTTACTGAAGCTAGTCTGCAGGAATGGGAGAGCAGGTGGGTAACACGGGGGTGGGTTGGAGAGAACCAAATCTGGCTTTCTACACCTCCAGTCCCACTGCATGGCAGAGTCCAAGCCCAGCACAGTGGATGTCTTCTTACACAATAGCTCTGAAATCACTGATCATGAAACAGGGCAGACATTTGGTTTATCTGACATCTATCACCTGCAAATAATACCAAAGTAAGTCTGCTCTTCACATTTACAAGCCAAAAAGAACATCTTTGTTAAATGCATTTTGAAGCCATACACTTGTGCCTGCAGACTTTTTCACTGCTTACCTTTTTCCTCCTTTTAATTATACTTTAAAGCCAACCTCATTTGTAAAATATCTGATTTGAGATCTGATTCTCATTTAGTAAGCCCATTTGATGAACCATTATCTTACTAATGCCTCCTTGAAAAGAAGACTTCAGCAATCATCCAAGACAAGAAACTACTATTCAACTCCAGGAGCTGTGGATGGGTTTGGGAATTGAAACTGCTGCATTTAACAGGGAATCATCAAGTTTCAGTACACCAAGGCTGTAGTAGTGTTTTTGATGCTCTGAGAAGACGAACAGCTCACAATGAATCTTGCACTGAGGCATCTATTTTTTTTTTTATAAAAGTTGTTGCTGCATTTTAATGGGATAGTTTTCAAAGTGCCTGGAGTGCTTTGAGTCCTGTGAAATACACCTCTGTCTTCTGCCCTAATGAATGCTGTAAAACTGGCAGGAACAGGCACAAGGGAGTCTATGAATTACTGGATTTGTCCTTCTTCTTTCTAAACTCTGACAAAATGTTTGCTTTAAACGAAGGAAAGGGCAGATAGCCCACCCCAGGTTGTCCTCACAACTTCGGGAATCCATATTTAATGCCACAGTAAACTACAGTAAACTCCCCACATGCATCCCTCCCACCACACCCCGAGCTCAGCAAAGGCATGCAAAGAGACCTGGTAACTTTTCTACTCCTCCCACAATTCATCCTCACTTCCAAAGCCCAGCTCTGCGCTTTAATGCCATATGGAATAAAAATGCACCACCCTCCCTTTACCATGGGGCACTGTTTATAACTCCGTGCCCCAGGATCAGCAAAGCAGCCAAAACCTGAGTAAGCAAGACAGAAGCATGCCTCTGGCATAGGGATATCACGGATTTGCAGAGACCTGGAACAACTTCTGGGTCTGCAGCTGGGCAGGACCACATTCTCAGTGCACAGAGGCAGTATGAAAATGCACCGTTCAGATCATTATTAAACAGCAGAGTGGATCTCACCACCTAACAAGCTACCAACCTCAGCACATTTGGTAAGTCACAGCAATCCAAGACTCAGCCCCGGAAAAATGAGCTATCATTTCAGTGCCCGTTGCTAGGGGAACCTGGTAATGTTCAATGCAATCTACACTGAAGAAAAAATATGTCTTGCTGAATATTAGATGTTTAAGCAGGTCGTAGCTATATGACTAGACATATAAGAAAAGCATTATTCCCTTAACTGAACAAATAGTTACAGCAAACTATTGCAAGTAGGGTAGGACAGCTTGTATGGGTAATATTCCTCATGTGATGTTTTTAACAGGGCCTGTAGCAATAGGAAAAGGGGTAACGGGTTTAAACTAAAAGAGAAGAGGTTTAGACTAGATATAAGGAAAAAATATTTCATGCTTAGGGTAGTGAAACACTGGAACAGGTTGCCCAGGGAGGTGGTAGGTGCCCCGTCCCTGGAAACATTCAAGGTCAGGTTGGATGGGGCTCTGGGCAACGTGATCTAGTGGAAGGTGTCCCTGCTTAGTGCAGGGGGTTGGACCAGGTGACCTCCATGGTCCCTTCCAACTCAGACTATTCTATGATTAAAATCTGCCAAAGAATGTGGGGTTACTTGAAATCCCAAGTAAAACCCCTAGAAGCTGGGCATCTCCAAACCTGCCTTTTAATAAATAATTTAAATCCACTGGTCCCTGACATCCATTTTAATGATCAGTGGATACTGGGTGATTTTCACACCTGCCAAGCAACAACCACGCAGCTCCCAGGGATCTTACTGACTGTGTTTGGCATTGCGTGCCCAAGCATGGCTCCGTGCCCTTGACTTTTTGTAAGCGCTTAATTTTTTGTACTCCCCTTCTAGAAAGGTTGATCCCTGCCCTGGCAGCACTGTCACCGGGGAAGTCATGTTACCTTGGGGATGCCTGCTGCAGTTTCAGACAAGCGCGGGTAGGTGTAGGAGCTGTAGGAATGTCCTTGCTGGTGTGCTTTAAAAGCGCTTGCTCCATAGGGCATGGCTGGCTCCTGCAGACCAGAGCCTGACCTGGACCTCTGCCTCATCGCGGGCTGAGGGCTTGCTGGGTCCACATAGGATGACTTCGGCCTCTTGTCAGAGTCATCCTTGCCCAGGCCAGGACCCCAGTCGCTGTCGCTGTACTCCAGCCTCTCCTTGGGGCACTCGCTCTGCACCGATACTCGGGACAGGGTGTAAGGAAAGGGATCTCTATAGTCCAGGGAGGATCCACTGGGGATCCGCTGATACTCCAGCCTTAGGCCACCATATTCCAGTGGTTTGGGCTTTGTCTCCAAGGGTGTGTGGTAATCTGGGAGGAACCTGGAGAGGTCTGACTGGAGGGGTGTCGCTTCCGAATAATAGATGTCCTGGGAAGTCACCTTCATCATGTGCCCATTCTGCTTGGTGGCATAGCTCCCTTTGTAGTACCTGTCTAACTCTTCCCCGTAAAGACTTTTGTCTTGATATTTTTCCACGACATAGTCTGTTGTAGTGTCTGACTCACTGGAGTACTGGGAGTATGTGACATAACCATTTTCCTCCTGATGCCTCGGTACGTGGTTTGCGTTTCCTTGGTGGTGGGTGGGAGGACTTTCCTTCCGCAGGGAATTGGATCGTGTCACTGAGATATTGTCAAACTCTTCCAGCAGGCCGTTGATTGAAGTATCCTTTCGAGGCTTATTTCCTCGAACAATAGTCTAGGAATAAAAAATTGCTTTGATTAAATACTGATTTTTGTTTAATATCTGACCAAGCAAACCACCAAAAAGTCTATGATTCACCTAGAAATACCCTTAGCGATGTGCTATAATCTTCAGTCAAGTACCTCAGAATAATCCATTGCTAGAAAAAAAATATCTCAATACTTACAATAGGACATAAAGAAATGAATAAACAAAGAGGGGTTAATTTCAGTGTACATCATAAGATGAGATTTGGCATGTAACCCCAAGACACTCTTAAGAAGACCAGTTTAAGAGGTGGGCGTTCACCAGCCAACAGCAGAGACGTTTAAAACCAGTACTTAATTTTTACTTGTTATTATTCAGTTCTCTACATCAAACCAAACTGTGGGGCAAGTCTGATAAGCTACATGAAAATCATTCAATGATCACTTAAACATGTTATTTTAACAAACTGTTGGAAAGGAAAGTAGCATATAGTTTAGTAAACACTGGCTTTAGGATTATTATTTTTTTTTTTTTTACAAAACAGTATGTTCCTGGGTAACAGAAGTACAACTGGGGATTGCCTCTTAGTTAACTTAGCATAAGAGACACTTGGGAAAGAGGTAAAAATACTTAACTACATCTCCTTTTTACAATACACAGCATCCAGCTAACCACTGTGCACAACCATGGGTTTGGGACATTCACATCACAGATACCATGTGGTGGCAGCAGTGGTGGCCCTGTTTGTGTCCTAATATTGCGAAGTCCTCTACAAATTCCCCATCCACGGATAATGGGTGTGGACAAGCACCACAGACATGAACTTGCTCCCACTGACTGCCCACAACCCCCTGCCTATCCCTACTCCTTTCTGTCCAAAACACTGGTGCTCCAGGTAGGATGGGAGGTGAGCAGTGCTTGGTTATAACTCTCCTTCAAGAAAGATCCATTACTTTTAGGTAGTACCATCTGAAGACTGCAACACATGTTTGCATCCATTTTTCAGCAGCTGACTCCCATTGAGTGCCACTTCGCATTTATAAACACCCCACAAGAATAAGATCGACAGATTAAGGGCCAAGACCATAAATCAGTGCAGCTCTACTGAAAACACATTTGCTTTGCTGATTTGCTTCAGCCAAATATCTCGGGCTGTATCTTATTTAATTTGAGAGTTTTTCAACAGAGTCGCTGCGGTCACCCCAAGGAGAAGTCCCTCTGCAAGCTGCAGCCTGCCTATGTTGCACACCAACCATGGCGTACCAGACGCCAACAGAGGTGTATTGGACACCGACTGTGGCACAGCACATGGTGACTGTGGCATACCGGACACCAACCATGGAATACTGGATGCCAGCTGTGGTGCCCAGCCTGGCCACTGGCCCTTCATTCATTGCAACGTCAACAGATGAGGTTCTACTCCAGGCACCACGAGGCTGCTCAATCCCTGCTCGAAAGCATGCAGGGGCTCAAATTTTGTCAAAACATGCATTTCATCACTAATAAAACAACTTTTTCATAAAATTAACAGCAAAGTACTTCTCTGTTATTCAGCAAAAGGCAGCTGAGAAAAGCTGGGCTACAAGAGAAGCAGTCCTGACCTCACACTGATCCCTGCTCTGATTTATGTCTGTAATTACTTGCCTAGTTTGCTATTTTGAAGCTAGCAATACCAAAACAATAGGACAGCAAAAATAAGGGACAGCAAACAGATCACTCCTTTTGCCTCCAAAGTCATTCACAGCAAGACGTGAGGAATTGATTTCGTTCAGCTACAGCCTCTTTGGCAGGATGACTGCATGATCATTCATATTTAATTATCACATAATAAACCAGCAACATTCGACAGTAAAATGCTTATAATTGAAAACAAGATTGAAATACCCAACTGCCACCCTGTTTCTCCTGTGCAAATGCGTGCCAAGGATTAAAATGCCAATTTAATACTCTCTGCAGGACTGGCCTTCACAAAGGAGAGGTTTCCTGGAGCAATCTGTGTTGTGCCTGCACAAAAGGACCTCAGAGCCAGAGAGAACCCCTGGGAACAGAGCTACCTCTTCGGTTACAGGAAAGAGGAGATCTCCCTCTGCTCCTCCTCCAAGCAGATGCTCTCTGGAAGGGGGATTTTATCATACAGGTACCCATGGGATTTGGGGGGTGGAAGAGGGTACAAGTACCTGAGCCCACATCAGAAGGAAGGCTTAGAAGAATGCAGTCGATGGTTCATGTGTTAAGGAAGTCATCAATGACCAAAACTTGAAGTTTAGGGATTTTCTGCAGGATTATGAAGATTAAAAAAGGACTAATAGTAAAACAGTTTGTAGGAAATTCCAATTTTCCAAAAAGAGCATTTGCACTGAATCCCCAGTCTGATGAAGCAGTCTTGGCTCTGGGACCCCAGTGCTGTTTCATCAAGTTAAGGGAATTAAGATCTAAAAACCTTTTCTTTTCTCCCAGCGCTTTGAGGATGGCCACTGGCAAACACTGACTTGCAAGGGTGATGGCTGCAATTTCAATTTGCTTCAGGCTCCTCTCTACGAATACACTAAAAGCGACAGCCAGCACCTATCCCAGAGGCACATTTTCTACAGAATAGTCCATGCTTTATTACTAGTAATAACAATTACTAATACTACCAATTGATTATTATAATTATTTATTACTAACAACAGCAGAAATATTTCCATTTGATTTGGTTTGTTCTTAAATTCAGCACTTCCCTTATGTGAAAGGCCATACACCTTGGTGAGACGTCCCTGTGTCTAAATCAAGCTTGATTTTTTTCAATCCAGCACTATTCCTATCAAAAGAACACTAGTGTCCATAGAGCAGATAATTTAGGAAGTAGTTCACTGAGACCCTCTGAAATACACTACGCTATAGAGTAGTTTGCAATTTGAATACAACTTAAGATATCTTGTTTCTACAGAAATCTGAAATACAGTGAGTGCCTCCCTGGTGGGTAGGGACAATTCAGCACAATTTACTAGTCTTAAAAACCAAAATAAAAACCCAAAGCAGGTATTATTCTATAAGCCCAGTAAGAATAATCACTCTGTAAGGATGCCCACAGAGCATTAAAAATTAAAAAATAAAACCAAATAAGAGATTTATAAAGAATGAAACATATGTTGGGCCATGTTAACCTGTCCTGAAGTCATTTACTACAGAGAAGGTGTGCGCCAGGGGCTTGCCAGTGCCTGCAGCTTCCCTGTGAAATGCAGCCTTTGCAGAAAGAAGCCAAAGATTGAAAACTGACATAACCATGGCCCAAATTCCCAAACTCAAAAGCTTATTGTATCCAGGTTCAAAGGTATGACTTCAGTGGAGATTGCTGATGTGGGAGTCTTGATTTGGGAATTTAAATTCTGGTTACTGCATCGGCAGGCTGTGCGCTGCATCGGCGAGCAGAGGGAAAACCTCCTGAGACTGAAATACAACAGCAAGAATCACAAAAGATGGAAAATTCTAGCTCTAACTTAAAAAGCAAAACAAAGAACTTGAAAGAAAATGTAACAGAAAAAGGCCACACTGACAGTGATATAAACAGTTATCCTGCTAATTAGTTGCATAGGAACTAGACTAATTTTTGCCATTTTAAAGGCTTTATAAATGGAAAAAAAAAATGATGTTTCCACATAAAGATGGAATTCTACTCTTCCTTGTCTGAATTTATGTACAATTTTTTAAAAAATGTTTTTTAACCACTTGCTGGTCTCCAAATTTTTAAACTTAAAGAATCGTTGAAGTTGCTGCAGGTAAAGTAGATAGTTAAAAGCAAAGCAACATCCATGAAGACTGATGGGCTAAGATTTATGAAGCCTTTGTTTCTATTGAGATCATGCAATGGAAACCTGTACAACACCCTGGAATGCATGAAAAACAGAGACTGAGCCCTACTGCCGGTGCAGCTTCCACTGCGTTCACCATAGAAAGATGGGATTTGCTATAGTCAATACCCCATGTTTATTAAAAGGACGTTTTTTAGCGCATTGTGCAATTTAGGAGGGATCAATGTTATACGAGATGAAGGAGCGCTGGTGAATTTTATGCTACCATTACTGTCATACATTAAAATCAATGGGGCGCAATCTCTGAATTAAAGCGCAGTACTCTGAAGCTGTAGCTCTCATTTCATTTCCATTGCTCTCTGGACAGGTTTGGCGTTGGCTCTGGAGATCGGTGACAGCAGACATCCTTCATAGTGTTTCTGTAGTGGTCTGTCCTCCAGTGATAAGCTATAATGGATCTGTCTGTAAGAAATCTGTCTTGCCTTGTTTCTAAAAGGAGATGAAAAACAGCTTCTGCACTCAAACACTGTATTAACCTTGACAATAAAGAAGTGGGTAATTAACTGGTTTGCCCTAATACGACCTTGCTTTTATTGTGTTTAAAACTACTATACTTTACACACTTGTTAAGAATATATCATCCTTTGTCCTCCTGGAGCTGTGTTTTCAGAAGTTGCTGAGGATTAAAAATCTCTGTGATGTGCAGGATAAAAAAAAAAAAAAGAAAAAAAAAGGTCTTCTAAAGAAATTTGTCTTATAAACAGCCTATCTAAACTCTGATAGACTCTGATTTTGCTTCTAGCTAGCTTATCCCCTTATTTGTATTATACATGAACTAAAAGCACAGCCTGTGTATATCTGAAAATCAATTTTTTCTTAGGAAAAGGTGTGTAAAGCACCACTGGTCAAAGTAATCTAACTGTAAGTGACGGACACGTCAGTAATTTATCTTCTTGTGCTGCAAGACATTCAAAGTATTTGAAGCTGTGGTCACGACATCACTTTTTACTCCTCTGTTTACTCCTGTGCACAGCACTACCTTGGGGAGAAAAACTGATCCTTGTCATCACGTCAGAAGGAAAACTCCAGCTTCTCTGGAAGTAAAAAAGTTTTATAGCTGCAGACAAGGGTGTAAGAGGTGTCAGGGATGTGCATTTGATCTGTTCTCACCAGGAGAAGAGGCTGTGAGATCTCAGACCAAGTACAGTCCTTAGAGAGCTCTAAATAGCTGGAGACCCTCAAAGACCCTGGAGATGGCCACAAGCACGCAGCAGAAATCTGCTTTTTTCAGTAGCCTGGGGCCAACGTGAGGTGGGCTCCTTTCCCTTGTCTGTGAGGCTAAATTTTAAGTCTGAGCTGCCATCTGGAGAGCTGACACAAGGACCAGGCTCAAAGGGGAAGATGGGAGATGAGAGACAAAGACTGGCCCACGGTCTCCAGTGGCTGACTTTACACAGACTAGTAAATATGCTGCCAGGGAGAAAAAGTGATGGCAGCTGAAAGCCCAGCAACAGGGGAGCTCAGCTGGGATCCAGGACAGCTGTTTTCAAGTAGACTGTCCCACTGTTTCACTTAAAGTTTTTTCCACTGAATATTCACTTGAGAACAAGTTTTAACCTCTGAGTCGCTTTCCAAACAACAATGTCGGAGCCATCCTCGTGATCCTACTGCACTCCAGTGCGTGCCTATTACACCCAAATGGTGAAGCTTCATGAGAAAGGACAAAAACCATTTCTGTACCTCCATCCCCTCTCTCCCCCACCTGATGATGGTATCAGGCAGGTTGTGCTTCCCATGCTCACAGCAGAAGTGCCAAACCAGTGCTGCATTGACATCTGCAGGAGATGAACTTGTGCATCAGTTTTGGACATCAGATAAAAGACCATGTTTAAAAGAAAGTGCACAAGTTCTATTTTTTTGACAAAAGGAGCCTGGAGACAGAATTAAGGATTGGGTCTGTGCTGAAGTCATATCCCTCTCCTCTGCATTTCCTCCAACCTAAATGTAGGTGCAAGTGTCTTGGGGAGCTAATTTGAACATCCTGCTTCCCAAAAGTCCCAGGGTTAGGAAGTTGGCGACTTGTCCCCTAGGGTCTTGGCACAGTGGCCTTAGCATTGGGTGACCTCTCCATGCAGCAAGCAGACCTGCTCCTCACCAGGGGCCACTCCAGGGCTCTCTCCATTTGGGTGCCATCTGCTCCCACCCCCAGCGCAGGGTCCTCTTTGTAACCACATCTATGCTATGCCTGTACGGTTGTACCAAGAGGGAGGTAATCGGATATATTTGTTGCATCGAACTCTGAGATTTGGGCTGCACCAAAACCCACCTTCTGGCTGTGGGATCACCCTACTTAATCCTGAGTCAGAACCAGAGATGCTACAAATTGTGCAAGTGAAAAACAATTGCTCTATTTGGGCAGCTGTCTCCTGACCTCAGCAGGCAACAAGCAGCTACAGCCAGACAGATGATGGGCCAGCACCACACTAACCAAACCAACCAATTCCCCCTGTAATACAAGACATGAAACTAAGTGGGAAGTTTAAGGTGCTTGTGCATTACAGCATTACTCTGGAAACATGCTTTGGCCACAGAAACTCATCAGA